CCTTTTTTGGAATTCATAAATAAACAGAAAATACTTGAATTTTTGTGCTTTTTGAAAACTATACGCCATTCTGTCCCACACATAGTTACAAATACACTATAGTTCGTGACGTATCAAGGAATTTTCTATAAGAAGCTAAATCCAAAAAAAAAAAAAATTCCCATTAAACATTCTCTTGATCTTTTCATTTACACATTTAGTACGATTATGTTAGATACTTAGATTATTGCGTAAATTATCTATAAAAAAAAAAAAGAAAAAAAAGTTCTCATACTGTGCATAACACCTTATTATATCGGAATGTAATAATCAGGTAACTCGGATCGTGAACGAGGCGTTTGGGGTGCAAACGCAGACCCACGACGGAAACGATGAGGTAACGACCGGAGAGCAGGATACGGAAGAATCGACGGTTCCTATGCTCGGGGTGAATGACATCCGGGTGTGGGACAGGCGGTCACCGGACGACGAAGTACTGAAGTCGATTGCAGAGAGGTTGTTGATCGTACACGGGCGGCTTASGGCGGAGACGCGTCGGCTGACCGCGGCCAGAGAACAACTGCGCTGGTTGATCACGCAGTCGATGTCCAGCGCAAAAGGCCCGGTCGACGAACTTGTCCGGGTGTTGGACGGTGACCTACAGACCACGGGTGTACCGACCGTCTTGCAGAAACGTGACCTGGTCGAGATCATGGCACGCGTCCGGGACGGTTTGTCGGCGAACCGTGCGCRCAGGCCGTCCGTGACCGGAAGCTCTTGTTGCGGTCGGCGTCTGCACAGCGTGATAGCGATGCAAGAGTTGCGTGATCTCCGGACGCGGCTGACGCTGGTCAAGGATAGGTTGAGGGCAGCTGAAAAGGACAAACGTGATCTGTTAGGTATCGTGGAGAGGAGCCGATCCGACCCGACAACGGTTGAATCACTCCGGACTGTACTCAGCAAAGAGAGAGAGAAGAATGATCACTTGCAATCAGTCGTCGACGACATGTTTATAGCCGCCAACAGAGGTGCATGAAACAGCATCAACATTCAACAATATAGTCATCTACGACTCTGCTTGTTCATATTTCATATAGGTGCAGTTTAAAATGAATGTGTTCACTTTTTACAGTTTCACGTATCCATTATTTGTATGAACATAATATCCACGCAAAAATTCTAAACCCATGTCTTTTGCACCTATTGGAGATAAACGTATTTTCCTTGCGTATAAAAATTAAAATAACAGTCAGTAATTTRTTTTAATAATATATAATTATAATTTTTACGCAGCTTATCGCTTAAATGTTATGTGTCGTGTATTGATCAGCTTTTACTAAGTCAATTTGTATATCATATAGGATGTACACAACGTGTTTAGTAAAAGTCTGAATAAAATTAAGATTTTCGGCATTTTCTGAGTACAAATAGTAAAACCTAGCATTACCTAGGTTTACCTAGWGATCGGACATTTACGGTAACATATACATAGACGATAGATATTCACATTTTTCCATTCGATTGCATCGCATTAACTGTGTCTTTTTGGATAGCGTTACAAATATGACTCAGTCATCCAACTTAGATGAGAATACGCTTTCTACCATAAGCACTGTTGTGCCTTTTCTTATGAAAGAATTTATTGGTGAAAGACATTATAAATATTATGACAGAGACAATAAAAAATAAATATATAAATCTCAACTTAATAGGTAAGTGGTATTTGGTAAGTACTTAATTGTAGTTATTTCTGAACATTGTGCAATGATTCCAAGAAAATGATTGATAATTTAAAATTTCACAATGAATTTAAAGGTTCACAACTACTGTGTAAATACTGTTACTGTTGGTAAATTTCTATATTTTTCATCATTAGAATTTTAATAGACATTATAAACCGATGTGGAAGATATAACACAAACTCGTTAAATTATCTACGCCTTT